GGCTGGGCGTGGTGGGTGTGCCTTCTGGCGCCGGGCTTCCCCGCGGGGCGTGGGACGGAGCTTTCCCAACGGAAAGAGACCCATAAACCTAGAAACGTGAGAAAAGTGAGAGATCGCTTTTAGAAGAATGCACGTGGTTGCGCCAGGCAGAGGAAGAAGGCAATGGCCCAGCTTTCCGAAGGAGCATTCATTGGAGCAAGCTCCGGGCATTGCAGGCTCTTAACGTTAAAAAGAGGGCTGCGCCAGGGAGGCCCAGACCCACGCTTCCACATCACAGACGGCAGCTGGGTGAGGAAACCGGCACGATCGCCGCCTCCATGAACAACTGAAGACAAACAGTAGCGGTTATCTATTGAACACCTGCCATGGGCCAAGCACTGTGCTCAATGATTTAATACGTATCTCCTTGGAGCCTCACAAGAAGCCTGGGAGGGAAATATTTCTATGCCCTCAATAGCTGAGACACTTACAGGTAACAGCTGAAGAAGTTTAATGGGAATCAGGGGGCCCTCCAAACAGCCCTCAATTCCACTGCTGGATGTGGCACCGGAAAGCCATCCTCTAGCCTTCGCCCTGCCCATGCATGAGCCTCTCTGCTTCCAAGTTCCGTCTCCAGCATGGACTCGCAGCAGCACCATTCACCGAGAGGCCAACTGGAAGGCCGCAGCCCTGCCCGTCTGCCCACCTGCTGCTGGCCCACCTGCTGCTGGCCCACCTGGCACCGGGGCTGCTGTGCTGCGCTCCCCAGCTGGCCGCCTTCAAAGCCCTTCCCGCTCACCGCCTTTCCTTCTCCCGCAGGAGCTTCTCACGTGCTGTTCAAGTTGCCTGGCATGTTGTTCCCTCCCCTCATTGCCTAGTTAACTCTTATTTAACCTTCGTAGGTCAGCGTTAAGTGGTACTTCCTCAAGCAAGACCCTCCTAATCTGAGGAAGCCAGTCTCCTCCTATTCGTAGGGCCTCGCAGCGCCGCGTGCGCTAGGTAATTATTTAATGTTTTCTTCATTAGACAGCAAGCCCCATGAAGGCAGGAATCATGACTGGCTTTGCTCACCGTTTTCTTCTCTCCTCTTAACACAAAGCATGACATGTGGCCTGTAGTCAATACATAGTTCTCGAGTGAATAAATGGAAACATAACTTTACAGCAGCAGCATACGTTTAGCTCAATAAGATTCTTCTTAGTCTGTAAGGCCCATGAAACCAAAGGCAATGTCTATATCTTATTTATGCATCACTGTGTCCCCAGTGCTTAGCTCTGTGCCTAACAAATGAATATATATAGTCTTTTATAGGAGCCAGACGCCTTGCTATTCTTTCCAAAAACCCTAGCGCCTCCACCATCCCTGAAAGATAGCACCTCAGAAACAACTCTGTCCACAACAGCATAACAAGTTACAGGGGTCTGTAGTTCTAGGCAAAGGGCACAAATGTCTGATTTTTTTTTTAAGCTTTACTTATTTTATGGTGTCACTTGCAGGGCTGGGTGGGTGTCAGAAAACCTAGGGATAAGGTGCACCACCCAGGAGCTGGGTTACTGGTTAAATCATTTGGGCTCTCTGTTTCGGAAGAGATAATGTAAGTTAAGCAGCTCTGACAGTGTACTGAGAGGCAGTGTACTGTAGTGGAATAAAAGCCCGGCTGTTGAAGTCAGCTAGATCTGAGTTCCTGAATCAGGAGCCGTCAGTACTCGTGGCATTATGCAAGTTAGCCTCAGAGTTTCAGTGTCCTTAACTGTGATAATGGAGATAATGCCTGCCTTCAAGGGCTTCAGTGAGGATTAATCAGCCAATACGGTGAAAGATCCTCACACAGTTCCAGAATTTTTCCTTATACAATCTTTTGCAGATGGGATTAAAAGCCATTTTCCTATTGTGATAATCATAGAGCCCTAGGAGGGAGAAGTTGAGTTATTATAATTGGGGTCTTGGAAGGCAGTTTCTCTCTAGACTCGTGTAAACTATGGTATTCACATTTGAATATTTTTAAGCTACCAGTTGTTGGATATCTACTGTGTCAGATACTGATCAAGGTGGGAAAACATACAGAAGAACAAATCAATGTTTCTGCCTTCAGAGAGCTTATATTCTGGTGGGGAGATAATAAGCTTGTGTGTGTGTGTGTGTGTGTATTTGTGGGTGAATAAAATGCCATATAAAGTGCTATGAAGGAAAATAAAGCAAGGAATTAAGAATGGCCAAGGCTGCTGTTTTAAGTTGGGTGATCAAAGACGTTCTCTCCGAGGAGACATTTAAAGTGACCTGAATGAAATGAGGAATGGGGCCCTAAAATCCTGAGGCGAGCATGTTCCAGGCAGAGGGAAGTGAAATGGGATGTTCAGAAACAACAATGAGCAGGGCATGTGGGTAAGGGGACAGTGACAGAAGCAAGGTCAGCGAGGTAGGCAAGAGCCAGTGCAGGGGGCCTTCGGGGTCACCGCAAGGACCTGGGGCTGGTTTAAACAGTAAAAACTCATGCTCCATGTTGTTTTATGATATCGCTCAGAGTCTTGGTATCAGGCCGAGCAGTGCAACGACCACACCTAGATCATAGAGGCTAATAAAAGACTTTGCTAGTGTCTGGCCTTTTAAGTGTTTGGGGCAGCTAAGCTGTAGTTTTATTTGTGTGGGAAGCACACAATGAATTGAAACACATTCTAGTTCCCACATGTCAAATTGCTGATGAGAACAGAACGAGCCTAGGCTGCCCCATCTGGTGAGCTATTGATCACTGGGGTTGACTCAGTTCACCGGGTTTGGCCGACAGTTATGTTTTTCTGTGTGTCTCTTTAGGACAAAGTGAGAGCTAGACTTACCTACAGGCATAAAGACACCCCAAGTCCCTTCAGTTTTGCCATCTCTCCCGTATTTTCTAGGAACCTAGCTAAGGTGAGTAGAAGGGCATGTGAACTGTTAGAATTCAGATAAATTGCCAGTCCCTGCCTTCCACAGAGATCACCCCATATCCTATGTGAGTCTTTCCTCAGAAGAGGGGCTACTAGGACATTTGATGCAGGTTCTCTGGGACTGAGGATGCCTTTTACCTGATGTTACAGTGACATTAAAACCAAGAGGTAACAAGAGAATCCAAACCAGTTGTAAAAGCCAGAAGCAGATGTCCAGAACTGATGGGCAGAGCAAGTTGAAGACTGACAAATCAAGAACAAAGACTCCAAAGGCAAAGGAAATCTCAGGTAAATATTGAAGACAGGTACTGTTGCCTACAGATAGGTTTAGTTTAAAATTTTTTTTTAAACCCTCACCCAAGGATATTTTTTCCATTGCTTATCAGAGAGAGTGGAAGGGGGAAAGAGAGAGAGAGAGAGAGAGAGAGAAAGAAACATCGATGTGAAAGAGACATATCGATTGGTTAACCGGGGCCAGGGATTGAGCCTGCAACCAAGGTACGTGCCATTGGCTGGAATCGAACCCAGGACCCTTCAGTTGGCAAGTTGACACTCTAACCACTGAGTCAAATCAGCTAGGGCTACAGATAGGTTTTATGTGCTTATTGAGGTGGTATAAGGGTGGGCCAGCTTTGTTTAAAGTGCCAGAAATGAAGGCTCGTGACCAGGTTTGGGGATCAGCATTAGGTCTTTTGTTTTTAAGTTTTTTTGGTTTGTTTTTGTTTGGTTTAGATCCCTTCAGGCTGACACTGGGCCTTCCTAACTACAAAGCTCTGCAATGGAACATTATGGAGCTAGTGACAACAGTCAGCTACAGGGAGCACCTCCAATAAGCCTGGAAACTGCAGTGCTGGCAGAAAAGGGCATTCTAAAAGGTACTCAGGCCAGATCTGTAAATCCCCTTTTTCTTCAAAGCTTTTCTACCCCCATGAGCCGAAGGAGAGCATGATGGTGCCCCACTGTTACCTCCCTTTCAATCTCAGGTGGGCTCCGTAGTTCCCTGTAGCTGGTGGCCACATAGGAGTTAGAAAACCAGATCAGCAGCATTACTAGCTGAAACCATCATGTCAGATTACCCTTTTCCACGGCCAATTAGAAAGGTGATTCTCTGATTTTTGAAATGACCTAGATCTAGCTAAAGAGGCCTTTTGGAAACAAATGGGGTAGAGAAAATTAGCTCCTTGGGGGAAAGAAAATAAAGTTGGAACCTTACACCGTATTACAAACCA